GTCCACCAGGACGCGAGGCGGCGCCGATGGTCGAGCAACAGATGTTCCCGCCGAGGTGCTCGGAGCTGGTTCACCATCGGGGCCCTCAGTGTCGCCGTCAAACTCGTAGACATCACGAGTTCGCTTGGCGTCACCTCGTCGGCCAGTAGAAGTGGACGGGCCGGCGGCCGCCTCATCGGTCTCCATGTTCTCTCCATCACCCTCAGCGCCCTCATCACCGCCCTCATCATCGTCATCGTCACCCTCGTCTCCGGTGGCGGCAGTTCGTCGCTTGCGAGGCTTCTCGAGCACCTTTTGAAAGTGCGAGTACTGCACCATCTCCACGGCGGCAGTCGCGTCAATGTCGTCAATCGTAGTCGAGAGACGGGCTCGGGCGTGGGCAGTGGACAGACGGATCAGCGTCTCCAGGGTACGAGNGCGAGTACTGCACCATCTCCACGGCGGCAGTCGCGTCAATGTCGTCAATCGTAGTCGAGAGACGGGCTCGGGCGTGGGCAGTGGACAGACGGATCAGCGTCTCCAGGGTACGAGCAGTGACGGGTTGGGTCTGGTAGAGATTGAAGGTTAGAAAAATAATAAAACAACAAATGAAGGTCTTGACTTACCCTGGCTACATCACTCTGCTCCAGGTCAAAGTCACGCAACTTGGTGTACTCCTGGGCAATAATCTCCGAGGCCTGCTCAGTCAGCTGAGGCTTGATGGCCTTCGCAATGTGAATGTACTTCTTCATGAAGTCCATGCTGACAATTTTCTCACTAAAAAAGAGATAAAATGTTATTGATCAAACCACAACTCTTCAGTCAGTAGAACATACTTTCGCTTGCGCTTTCCGTGCAGAAGTGGATCATATTTCTCGTAGACGGGCGTCTCCGTCTCCTCGCCATCCAGCTTGGATGAGTCCTTGGTGGTCAAAAAGTCGGCATGAGTGCGAATTGGAAGTGCTGCAGAAAAGAATGGGTCTTGGTTATAATATTCAAAAATCCTCCAAAAAGAACTTACGCTCTCCGTCAGCCTCGCCGGGCGATCGGTAGCGATGCATGCGCACCACGTGATCGGAGATCTCCGTGTCATTGTCCACGTCGTTCTTGTCGAGCATGATGAAGATGCAGTCGAAACGCGAGAGCAGCGAGTCCTGCAGGCCAATATTGTCCATCGGGGTCTTGTACTGGTCGTAGCGGCCGTAGACGGGGTTGGCCGCCGCCAGCACCGAGCAGCGGGCGTTCAGCTTCGCCTGAATGCCCGCCTTGGTGATCGTCACCCGGCCCTGCTCCATCACCTCGTGAATGGCCGTTCGGTCAATGTCCGACATCTTGTCGAACTCGTCGATGCAGACGACGCCGCGGTCGGCCAGCACCATGGCGCCAGCCTCCAGACGGCGGTCACCGGTCTCCGCGTCAGTGGTCACCGCCGCCGTCAGACCGACGCCCGAGGAGCCGCGACCGGTGGTGGCGACGGCGCGCGGGGCGCAGTGCAGCACGTACCGCAGAAGCTGCGACTTGGACACCGACGGGTCGCCAATGAGGAGAATGTTGATGTCACCACGGAGACGGGTTCCATTTGGGAGAATCTTCTCCATGCCGCCGAGGAGCATGCACAGCAGCGCCTTCTTGATGATCTCATAGCCGTAGATGGAGGGGGCCAGCGAGCGGGCCAGCGTCTCAAAGACGTCCTTCTGGCGGGAGAAGCGCTGGCACTTCTTAATGTCCTCCGGCATGATCTCCGCGTCCACCTCCTTGTTCAGCAGGTTGATGTGCGTGCCGAGGAGGATGGTGCGGAAGGTGCCGCTGGTGTAGTAGCCCTGCTTGTTGGGCAGGCAGCGATAGGGGCCGACGATGAGCACTCGGTCGCCTGGCTTGCACTGGTCCACCAGGTCGTTGTCGGCGATGACGTCCACCGACCGGGGCAGCTGCCCCGGAGGCGCCTTCTCCGGCATCTCCTGAATGGTCAGCGTCTGGTGGTCGTTGAGCGCCGACAGGCCAAACTCCGTCTCCAGCAGGTTGCCGTCCTCGTCCTTCGTCGGGTGCACCGTCGACGAGGGGTAGGCACTGAGTGAGGTGAGGTCGGTGAACTTGCGCTCAATCTTCTTCTTGGTCACCTCGCAGTAGTGCACCGAGTGGGACCACTTCGGGCGGACCAGAGAGCACTTGGTGACGATGCCCTCGATGGCGATGATGGAGCCCAGCAGACTGGAGGAGAGATTTCGCGGCGTGGCGTGCTTGTTGCCGAAGCTGCCCTCGAAGCCAATGAGAAACTCGTCGTACTTGTTGGCAAAGGCCGGGTCGCGCGAGGCGACGAACTCCTTGAGGGCGTTCTGGAAGAGGACCAGCTCCTCGATGGAGTTGTTCAGCAGCGCCTTGACGCGCGTCGGCATCTTCCGACGGACATCGTTGATGTTCACCAGCAGACGCTGCTCGCCGACCTTGATCATGTGCTTGACGGCCTCCGCGTAGATGCCCTCATCGCTCTGTACGACGGGTGAAATGAGGTGGAGAAAGAGTGAGAGTTAAAACCAGTGAGTTAAAAGGCCACCAGTTAAAAGGGACACCAGTTGCTCATAGCGTCACACACACACACTTACCTCGTCGTCGAGAAAGTCCAGGTACTGCGACTGGCGCTGTCGGTCAATGTCCTGGTCGGCGCTCGGTGGGGCAATCATGGTGATGACGTTTGAAAAAACTGGTAAAAGCTGGGCCTAGCAGGACTTGGGAACTCTGCAGAAGTGTTGCTGCGAAGGCTGCTGCGGCAAAAGTGTATGGGAGAAGAGAGCGCACTGCTGCTGCTGCTTCTGCCACAAAGAAGCCGCCGTTGTGTTTTGGCGGAAAAATTTCGAGGGCGGTCCTTCGGGGGCTCGCCACTGTTGACGTACCAGCTGCAGACGACTGTCTGTCGCCAGATGAGATCTTATCAGCGGAATCTTATCATTCACCCTTTCAAAATGCATTCTTTTGAGCTGATAAACTTTTAAGTTACTCACGCCTTTAATTAGAAACGTCTAATCAGACAGAATCTCGAACTTACTTCTGCTTTGCCTTTTAAACGTCACTGCATCTGTGAAGGGGCGCTGCTTGGAAGGTTATCCAAAACAGGTGACTGACTTTGTTGTTGTGATTCGGCTGGCTCAAGATTGCCTTTCAGTTCAGTCTTTCTGCAACGTTTACCTCTTTTTCTCGTTTCTGGAGCATTTCACCAGGTAAGTTTGATCGTAATTTTGATGAGATTAGTGAGCTAATTTTTGTCCACCCACTCAGACATGTCCACCGGCCACATCGCCAAGTCGCTGGGCGGCAAAGTGAAGCCGATTCTCTCGCTTGACAAGAATGACGCCCGTCGCCGAGTGCTGAACCTGTACCGCGCCTGGTACCGACAGATTCCCTACATCTGCTACTCCTACGAGCTGCCCATCAGCGAGAAGACGCTGCGGAACAAGGTGCGGGAGCTCTTCTTTGCCAACAAACACCACACTGACGTTCGCGTTGTTGACATGCTGGTGCTACGTGGCCACATGGAGCTGAATGATACCATCAACAAATTCAAGTCGAAGATGCACGTCATGGCGTACTTCAAAGACCCCACCTTCTACCAGAAGAAAGATTTCCTGTCAAAGTTCCTCACTGGACATAGTAATGAGTAGCATCTTTAGCATGTTGACGACAAAGATCAATATTGTCTTGCAATTTGGCGTAGTGAGTGGGCGCTCAACGCCACCACCTTCACGCCTCCCTTCTCACACCGGTCTCTCTTTAGCCCAAGCCGGAGATTGTTGTAGCTTTTAAAAATGTAAAATATCCTTTTCTATTACACGCTTGGAAACACTCTGGTACATCTCAAAACATTAGATTCTCAACAGGCACAACTGGCGTCTAATTAACCGGTAGAGCCCTACGCCTAAGAACAAAGCGGTTGTTCGGCTCTAATTAGAGCGTTCTAAATCCGCACCCCAAAGGCCCCAAAACACACCTTGTTAGACAGCTGCTCTTCATAGTCCTCGTTTGGGCCACCGGCAGGCGCCAGTGAGTGGTTCTAGCCACTCGGAAGTTGGCCACATTATTGGAGTGCCCCCGGGACTTCTCCTGGAGACTGCCATCTCCGGCGTCCTCCCTCTGGTCCTCACGCCGGCGAGTCCCGCCGCCCTGGGCCCCTATTCCGGCCGGTTCTCCGGGCCTATTCTAACCTGCGCCGCCATTTTGATCCTGTGTCGATGGTGGAGCCATCCAGTTGGGCAAAGTGAGGCACAGAAGTAGAAGTCGCACACAGCTGAGAGAGTTGGCTGGCAGTGTGCGGCTCGACGACGGCCTTTTTGGCTGCTGCAGCAGCTTCTACTTCTGCTTCTACTACTTCTGCCGTTGCTACTGCCGCTGCTGCTGTTTCTGCTGCTTCTACTTTAGCTTTAGCTGCAGTGTGTGCTGCCGCCGCGCTGTGTGATCATTCGCGCTCGTCATCCTCTATCGCCAACAGCAGCGGCAGCAAATCTATCCTCAACAGCCCTGCTGCTTCGGCTGCTCCACACCACCACCAACAGCATCTCCAATCGGCAAAAGGTCGACCGACAATCGCCCCACTTCCCCCGCCGCCGCCACCACCACCCCTTTCCGAGGAGTCCACAGTGACCCGGCTTGGAGACCTTCAGTCCGTTGCCGAAGGTAAGTGCCGCCGGCCCAGTGCCTGTGTTTGTGTGCCTGGCCCCCTCAGTTCCTGGTCACTTCGCCGGCGCGCCCAGAACGCGACGACGGCATGGCGTCTTTCTCTTTCTCTTTTTCCCATTTGTCTCCCTCTGCCTGCCTGAGCTGAGTTGCTCCTGGTGCGGTGGTGTTTGCCAGCACCTCACCTCCCTTTTGTAATCGAGCACTTTCTGCCGTGTACACACACTCACTCACTCACTCACTCACAACCAAACACACACACAGACTCTGTTCTCCAAAGTTGCATTTCTGGTTTGGAAGAAAGTGATGATGATGATGATGTCTCTCTAGAAATGGTCCTCTTTTCGAAATGAAACTATTTGCCCTCTGGTTGTGCGTTTCGAAATGGTTCTCCCTTCGGTTCTTCCTTCGCCTGCCACACACACTTCTCGTCTTTTCGTCTGTTCTCGTCTTTGTGCTCTCGACTTCTCCCTACGTTCTGCGGTGCTGACGCCGTCGCCGACACCGACGCCGACGAAAACTTCTCAAGGCGGCAGCACCCGATTTAGGTCCAACGTTGCCTTCCTTCCCTCTTGGTGATTCTCACTTGCTCACTCGTTCGAGCAGCGAGCCATAATATAGAACTCTATTTTCACTTCATATAATTCATTGGTCTGTCTGCTATTGTCTAATCGCCTTAACCTCTGATTGTGCGTCTGTTCTACTTCGTCAGCTAAGTATGCAAATCCTACCAACTGTGTGTGTGTGTGACTGAGGCGCTGACTCTGTACCAGCCTAACCTTCCTACCTAGCAATCACACACAATCTTGGTCCACCAAGTATTTATCTTGAGGCACCGGGGCACACACTGAGGGACAGCAGCAGCATTTGTCCGTCGTCAGCCTGCAGAAGAAAGCGGCAAGAGTGGCGGCAGCAGCAGCAGGCCGGCAGGAGCTGACCACTACTGCTCAGGCTGTAGTTTTCAGTCAGCCCGGCCAGCCAGCCACTGATGGTGGTGGCTGTTACCTTTGCCGAGAAGAAAGTGCAAACGAAAAAGTGGCTTCTTCGTCTTGGGCATGTGCCTTCTTCTTCTTCTGCACTTCTTCTACCACTCTCGAACTGGCTTTCCCATTGCCACATTCACACGGCATTTGCCTCTCTTCTTCTTCTTTGTCTCCCTTCTTCTCTCTGTCTTGGTGGCTGGTATTTCGCGCGCGTTCACACTTGACTCGATTCTTGTCGTCTTGGGCCGAGTGAGCAGCAGCAGCAGCCAAAGTAAAGCAGACCAGTGCTTTCAGTCGGTCAGTCTGTTCGGCGAGCACTTGTTTTCTGCGCCTTTCAGCTCACACAGCTCTCTCTCTCTCTCTCTCTCTCTCACTCAGCCAGGCCCATTGAGTGAACCAGCTCTAGATCTAGTAGTAGCAATCTCTGCACCACACTGATGACCACTGGCCAGCAGTCGATCCATTATTGCCCCCTTCAGTTCCCTTCTGCTCACTCTTTCTCTCTGCTGGCTGCTCTATCTCTCTCCCAGCAAGCAGTCTCCTCTTGCACTGCCCAAGACACACATTCAAGACAGGTGGCTGCTGTNCAGCAAGCAGTCTCCTCTTGCACTGCCCAAGACACACATTCAAGACAGGTCCCCCATCAGCACTGCTGCTGGTGTATGATTTAAATGGATTCTTCACTCAGTTTCTCGTCAATTCTGCTCTCGAACCATTCACACACCGAAAGCAGTTGTAAACAAAAGTTGGACATTTAAACACTGTGCTCCTCTTGTGTCTTTCTTTCTTCCACTCCTGCTGCTCAGTGTCTGTGTGCCGAAGTGAGCAGAGAGAATCGATAGTGGTGACATTTTCGCCACTTCCACATTTCTCACTCACTCGCTCGCTCGCTCACTCTTTTGTGGCTGACTTTGAGCAGATTTTTTCGTTGACAACATTAGAGGCGCTGTCTTCAGTTTTCACTTGGGTCTGGTTTGGTTTGGCGTGTGGTGCCTTATCTGGCGACAGACAGCCACCGGGGCAAGCCTTTCCTGGTGGTTGGTGCTCTTTTCACCACCATCATCTTTCTCGCCCTCAACCGACTACCGCCACAACTGACTCCACCGACGCCGTCTCCAGTCGTTTTGTTGTTTTCTTCTCCAGTTGCCTCTTCTCTAGTAGTTGAAGCTGCAGAAGTGGAAGCAGCAGCAGCAGCCTGAGCTCTCGTCGCCCTGTCGCCGTCATTGCTGCCAGCACTGCCGTCGATCACACACAACTCACACAAACATACTCACAAAGAGTCTATCGCCAGTACATTTTACTCACTTTCCTCAGTACACCAACACATCACCATCAGAGGCATCAGAGAGGCAGCAGCAGCAGCGGCATTACCTTGCCCAGCAATCTAATCACCAGCAGTCCCTTTAATTGCTTTGTTTTTCATCAATCACCTCCTGCCACAGATCCCCAGCAGCAGCAACGGACGAAAGTGGTGGGTAATCCCTGCACGACTTTGGGACGGTTGGGTCCGAAGTGCCGCCTGACTGAGGAGCACAAAGGCTGCGTCCTCCGTCTGCTTCAGCCGCAGCCGCTGCATCACCACATCTGAACACATTACGTGGAAAGAAACTGCACATACACACACACACCGGAGACATGTCTACTATCAATCAGGTAAGTCACCCCATTTCCACATTTCTCTTTGTTCCACTCTCTTTGCACGTCTTTCCTTTCCTTTTTCTCTGCTGCATTTTATTACTTCACTTTCGTGTTCAGCTGCTCTGTCGCGTCTTTAGCTTCCGCTGTGTCGCCCCCGAGGCAGCAGCAGCGGTGGTCCTAAGTTATGAGCATGTGTGTGTGGCAATCGAGCCATTCTCAATTGCTCACAGATGTCACCTTTAGTTGTGAATGAGCCGCAGCACTCGGCATTGACCCTGCGCCTTTCCATTGTCTGAGTCCCCATTTTAGCAATAGTAGTTCCACCTTTAAAATGTGACTGTCACCGGGCCCAATCGACCAGTTTATCCCCTTCCCCTCCCCACTTTACCGGAACACCTCGATCACCTTTCCCAACAGGTGGCGTAGTTCGGTAGTTTCGTTAGCTAGGGCGTTTCTCCCCATCCCATCCATTTCGATTCCTGGCAGTCAATGTCCCTTGACGCACTCTAGTGCCCGGTGATGGTGGTGGCAGTGGTGACTTGTTCCTCTGCTTTCTCTCTTTTCACTTAGTTGTCCATTGTTGTCGCTGCTGTGTCTTCTGTGCACAGCATAAAAAGGCGCGCAATTTAGCATCGCGCATGACATCGACAACACAGTCGTCGCCGAGTGTCCTGGCGAATCCTCTCTCTCTCTCTCTCTCTCTCTCTCTCTCTCTCTCTCACTCTATCTCCGTTTTCCCTCTTCTGCGCTGGCCTCTCTCAGTCAGTCAGTCAGCTTTTCGCTGACTCTCGCTCTCTGCCAATTTGAATTTGGCGCCGCCCGTCTGCAGCAGCGTGGACGGCGTGGGGTGAGCGTCTGCCGCCAGTGCCACTGCCCCGTTCGTCGTCTGCATTTGTTTACGTTCGGTTGCAAGGGAGTTTGCAGGGAAGAGAACGCAGTGAGAGTGAGAGAGAGACAGAGGATATGTTGCTGCCGTCTGCTACTACCGAAGCTGCGACCATTGCAGGCAGGAGGATTCATGCGTCGGCTGTTGCCGGTTGCCTGAGAGAGCCTGCTGCAGACTACTACTGCTGCACACCATCTCCACCAAACTTGCCTAGGTGCTTGTGTGAATGCTGTTGCATTGGTAGTGTCTGTGTGCAGTGTTTACTCCCCCCTCTCTTGCACAGTCACGGACAGGACAGTGAAGTGAAGTGTGTGTAGAAGTGGCACCCCGACATATGGCTAGCAGCAGTATATGCTGGTTGTCGTCGAAACCAGCCGCCAACCAGAGGCGGTTTTGGCGCCAAAAAGGCCGATGCTTCTTCACAACCACTGCAGCGGCAGCCACAGAAGCACAGCCTGAGAGAGTGATTCGCACGCCACCAGGC